GCTTCTTGCATGTCATCCTCTCCCTCTTTGCCTTTCTTCCTCTTTTTTTCCCCCCCAAAATTGCACAGCCTTGTAGTAGGAGCAGCCAGCTATTCACTTCCCCTGTCATTCTGCTTTTCCTTCCTCTTTCACATCTTCTGCAGACTGTGTCAGAGAAGGACACCAGGAGCCAGAGTCACCGTTTCGGTGACACAGTCAGGGGTCCAAGTTCCTATTGATTTTGGTGGATTCCTATTGATTTTGGTGRATTCCTATCGATTTTGGTGGACTTTGGGCCCGAGCTCGTTGCCTGGCAATTTGGGACCCCGGAATTTTGATGGAGGGCAGCTCCCAGGAGGGTCAGCTGGACCCGGGGAACACTTCAGAGCCAGGAGGTGTCACTTGGTCCCTACGATTGTTGGGCAACGGGRCAAAGGTGGAAAGGCAGCACCGTGGCATTCCTGACTCCTGCTCTTAACTCTTTTTGTTTTCCCATCCTCTCTAAGCACTTCATGGAACCAATCTTTCCAGTTCTCCCAGGTGAATTTCAAGAGCTTTCCCCAGTTCTGTGCAGCCAGGAAAGGGCAAGGACAGGGTGAGGTTTTCTGATCTGCATCAGTTTTCTGTCCCTGCTGCCATCCTTGGGCTTAAAATTCCAATTGTGTCGTGTGAAGAGCATCAGGCAGGCAAAAAATACGTGGAAAAGGAAAAGGAATAGAGAAAAAGAAGAGACAGATAAACTCATGAATGGCAGGATTGAAATGACTCCACAAACAAGGCATTATTTCTTCTGAAGAGCCACCACTTTTCCCTCAGCTGTTTCACTGCTGGGATCCAAAACACCCAGGAATATTTTTCTGTGTTTGCACTCACATCCAGCTTCAGTCACCACAGTCACCCCCTCCCTTGACTTGCCTCCAGGAGCAGACTTTCCAAGGGTATTTATATCCTAGCAGGGATTTGCACAAAWTCCCCTCTGCCTACCTTCCAAGGGAATTAACAGGATTTAAGTATTTAGTTGCTTAGAAAGAACTTCTTGAGGTGCCTTTCACCATATGGCTGGATGCCATCCCAGGTCTCACCGTTCCCARGGCAGCAAATTTATCAATCTTTAGTGGAATTCATGAGCTGGAGGTCACCTGGCCCCCCTCTTCCACGGCTGCTGGAGGTGGATGAGAAGGGCACAGTGAACAGGAAGCACACCTTACTCCCAAATCTCACACAGTTCCTCCTGTTTCCTCTCCAGGATGCATTCCAGGCTTTCCACATCAACCCCACCTTGGTGCAGAAGTTCCTCAAGCCGTTGCTCATCGGAGAACTCGCTCCRGGGGAGCCCAGCCAGGACCGAGACAAAAACGTGAGTATTTGCCCCTCAGCTGGGGCTCAGGTTGGCTGTTCCCACCATTCTTTCCCTCTCAGGATGTTCTCCAGAGAGGGAGAGAAGTTCTCAGTGTCTGAACACCTCCACGTGGCAGTGTTTGCATCCAGTCAGGGGTTCAAATGTGTGTTCAAAGGGGGTGACTCTTCTGGCTGTACAAACCTTTCCCACARAGCCCATTGCTGGCAGCCAGGCTGGACTGATCCCACCCTAAAGGGAGATGGGAACGGAGATGTRTGGGCTGGGAATGTGCCCCAGCTCKGGGGTTCCTCCTGCTGCCAGCAAAGTCCCCAGATGTCTCACTTTGGTGGCTGTCTCAGGGACAGCAGCTCAGCCTTTCCCCATCCTCGGGCAGCTCTGTATCCCTGCTCATCCATAATTCAGGCCCAGAGCRTGGCACAGCTGGCCCTGGGCAGGAAACCCAATCGTGCCCCGTTGTGTGTGGCCAGCCATGATTGTGAGAGATCTGTGTCACTGACAATGGAGGGGACAGCGCTGGCCCCGGTGACCCGGGAGCGCTCCTCATGGATGGCTGCACGGGAGCTGGCCCGGATCGGGTGGAGCACGCTGGCTGCTCGTTATCAGAGCTCTGGGATCGGGTGCTGAATGAATTCCCTCTGCTTCAGCTTCTCCTTGGTGCTTGGAAGCTCGTTTAAACAGGAGCCATCGGGGGTGGGACACCCAGCAGAGCTTGGATTGCTCTCCTGGCTCCAGGTCCTGGGCTCAGAGCRGCCAGGATGTTTATCCTTAGGAACACAGGGCAAAAAGCTGGAATGTGGAGCTGGAATAAGGGTCCTCAGCGTGGAGCTCACCCTCCCTCTGCCCACAAGTCACTGGGGCTCTCTGCCAAGCCTCACCCTGCTCTTGCCTGTCCCGCTGCAGTCCCAGCTGGTGGAGGATTTCCGGAGCCTAAGGAAGGCGGCGGAGGACATGAACCTGTTCCGAGCCAGCCCTTTGTTCTTCTCCCTTTACCTGGGCCACATCATCGCCATGGAGGTGCTGGCTTGGCTCATGGTCTCCTACTTTGGGACCGGCTGGATCGCCACMCTCATCCTCGCCTGCATCCTCACAACTTCCCAGGTGAAAACCAGAGACCTTCACCTCCTTAATTCCCTCTCTGCCTCACACTCCCAGTGTGCCTTCTGTCTCTGTTTCCTTCCATCTCCATTTCCTTCCATCTCCATTTCCATCTCCATCTCCATTTCCTTCCATCTCCATTTCCTTCCATCTCCTTTTCCTTCCATCTCCTTTTCCTTCCATCTCCATTTCCTTCCATCTCCATTTCCTTCCATTTCCATCTCC